TTGATGGCCAAAAGCGAGGAGAAGCTGAGGAGCCTTCTAATCAAGATAAAAGAAGAAAATGCAAAAGCTGGGTTGCAGTTAAACATTAAAAAACCCCAAGATTATGGCAAACAGACTGATTGATAACTGGCAAATAGAGGGAGGAAACGTGGAGGCCGTGATAGACTTTGTATTTCTAGGTGCAAAGATTACTGCAGACGCAGACTGCAGCCAGGAAATCAGGAGACGCTTACTTCTTGAGAGGAGATCAATGACCAATCTCGATAAAATAGTGATGAGTAGAGACATCACACTGGCAACGAAAATCCGCATAGTAAAAGCAATGGTATTCCCCATAGTCACCTACGGATGTGAGAACTGGACCATAGGGAAGGCTGAGCGAAGGAAGAGAGATGCTTTTGAACTGTGCTGTTGGGGAAAAGTTCTGAGAGTGCCTTGGACCACGAGAAGATCCAACCAGTCCATACTTCAGGAAAGAAAGCACGACTGCTCACTGGAGGGAAGGATATTAGAAGCAAAGATGAAGTATTTTGGCCACATAATAAGAAGACAGGAAAGCTTGGAGAAGACAATGATGCTGGGGAAAATGGAAGGAAAAAGGAAGAGGGGCCGACCAAGGGCAAGATGGATGGGTGGCATCCTTGAAGTGACTGGCTTGACTCTGAAGGAGCTGGGGGTGGTGACGGCCAATAGGGAGCTCTGGCGTGGGCTGGTCTATGAGGTTACGAAGAGTCGGAAGCGACTGAACGAATGAACAACAACAACCGGACATTTTACATCTAGAAGAGGCCTGCTTTTCACAACAAAATGTAAACAGAAGTTTTGTTCACTTCCTCTTTCAAATAAAGATGTATCATAAAAAATGTAAGATGCCTAGGCCACAAGTAGACCAAGCACTCTACTTTGTCCAACCCTGCAGTATATAGTCTTGACATAAAACTATGCCCCTTGCATAGATTTTATAAGTGATTTGAGGGCAGCACATATACGAACTGCCTTGTCCTAAACATTTTAACGGTTATTCTAAAAGAAAATATGCCATAATGCATTTTTCAAAATTTTCAGAAAGAAAGGGGACTTTGTTTCTTGTGTCTTCATGTCTCTTTTCCTGGTGGCTTTCCTGCTGCCTAAGATATTCAGGAAGAAGGCAGGGTTTCAGAAACTGTACAAGGAATTAACAGAATTCCACCCCCATTAACAAACTGAGCCTGCAGCAATCCACACAGTAAGTTTAGATCATCCAGTAGAGATAGCAAATCCGGTTCCTTGGTTTTGCCACGTTGAGCATTACCCTGCTGTAGCCTACTGCCATTAGACAGCTCATCAGGCTCTCTCCAGCACTCATGTGAGTTGTTCACCATTTTATGTAAGGGATGCAATTCCTTAAATATCAATCTGTGGTGTGATACATGGGCCAAAAAAGACAATGTAATTCTTCATTGCATCAAGGAGAGTGGAATTGAGCATCCATGGATTTTGGTATCCACATGAGGTCCTGGAACCAAACCCTGGTGGATACCGAGAACCCACTATATAAACAACATGGATTAACATTTCTGTTTTATATACATTTCTTCAGCAGTCCTATTGAGTTCAGTAGAGTTACACTGAATAAATTGCAACAGGATGGCCTCCTAACCGAGTGCTCCTATGCATATCTATTCAGGACTAACTCAGCTGAGATTAATAGGACTTCAACTTCTCAATATTCCTGCACAACCAGTAACAGGCTTGAGCACTGCAGCAGTTCAATGGAAAAATTAAGAGTGTGTGCGTGCGCACAATAGAAATAAGGAGTGACTATATGAACTTACCAACTAAGAACATCATTATTCTTGGAGATTTTACACCAAGATTGCTTATGCCACAGCATACTAATTGACCTTCAAGGTGACACTGGATTCTTTGTGTTGGTCAAGCTGTAATATTATAGTAATTCAAACAAGCTCCTTTCCACAAAATACAACAACGGCAACCAAACATGAAATGGAAGACAATACAGTTGGTGGGTTTTGACTTGTTTTTTTAATTATTATTTTAATCTTGCTGTATGCATGACTCACACCCATCACTGTTGATTTGCTTTTGGCAATGGAAGTTTCCATGTGTTAGCCTTCTCTACCAAATTGGGAAGTGGTAGGCTATACAGTTTGGATTTGTAACCTCCCCAAACTACAAATCCCACAATTCTGTAACACTGAGGCCGCTTCCACACAGCTGGCTAAAATCCACACTGAACTGGATTATATGGCAGTGTGGACTCATCAAAGCAGATATTGTGGATTATCTGCCTTGGTATTCTGGATTATATGGCTTCTTTCATGTCAGGAGTGACTTGAGAAACTGCAAATTGCTTCTGTGAGAGAATTGGCCGTCTGCAAGGATGTTGCCAGGGGACACCTGGATGTTTTAATGTTTACCATCCTTGTGGGAGGCTTCTCACATGCCCCTGAATGGGAGCTGGAGCTGACAGAGGGAGCTCATCTGCGCTTTCTCTGGATTCGAACTTCCAACCTGTCTGTCTTCAGTTCTGCCGTCACAAGGGTTTAACTCATTGTGCCACTGGGGGCTCCAACAAGAAAGGTGCACTAAGGGAGATGGAGAGGAGGAACACATCTCCTCTGCCCCCACCCCCACCCCATGCAGCACCTTCTTGCCCCATGATCACAGGCAGGGAGGAGACTGCCATGACATAAAGGGCAAGTGGGTGAAGGGACCTGGCCACCTGAGCCCAGGAAACTCCTTAGGTTATATGGCTGAGTGATGGCAGTTCTGGACTGAGGATACATCCACACGATACCGGGTGTCCATAAAAGTCTCTTTACCATTTAAAAATGGCAAATAGTAAAGAGGCTTTAGGGACATGCATTAATGTAGTTTGACACCACTTGAACAGCCTTGGTTCAGTGCTATGGCTCAGAGTCACCCTGGCCGCCCTGAGTCGCCCTGGGGCTGATATGGGCGCGGTGAAAATGATGTAAATAAATAAATATGGAATCCTGGAATTTGCAGTTTATTCAGTTACCAGTACTTTTTGGCAGAGTGCTGATAAAACAATAACGAAAACTACACATCTTGATCCCTTGTTAACAGCTTGTTTATTTTAACTTTTGTTGTACTGTGTGTTGTATGCTGTATGTGTATGCATTAAATGTGTTTATCATGAAAAAGCATGGGGAAAGTTTATTAAACTGCAAAAACATTTGTTGCGGGACATCCTGCAGCATCTTTTGCTATAGCTCTTTAATGAATATCTCACAGAGTCTCAACATTGTTTGTGGCAGCCACAAAACTGAAGTTCCTGGCGTATAACAACTACTCTCAAAGCAAGTATCACACAGTTAAACAGCAAATAACATTTTCAAACCAAGAACAGATTTTTTTTTCAAATTTTGTGACATAGTGAATCTTCCTCTAATTCTCAGGGTTCATTATACACACTATAGTATTAATCAGCACTTTTAATCTTGTACCCATTACTCTGGCCCGGCCCAGTTTTATAGTGTCTCGATGTATTGTTTATTGTTGGTTGTTTATTCTGCTTAACTGTTTTTAATTTGCTTTAGGTATTGTATTGTTGTATTGTGTTTGAGGCTTTGGCCGATGTAAGCCGCATCGAGTCCTTCGGGAGATGCTAGCGGGGTACAAATAAAGTTATAATAATAATAATAATGTAGTCTTTACATCACTTTTTAACTGCCTGAGATCCATACTCTTGAATCACGGGCATGGTAGTTAGTAGAAACTTTTTATTGATTTGCCCATTGGCTGTATCAAAACATGTGACAAACACATTTAACGCACACATATACAGCATACAACCCACAGCACAACAAAAGTTAAAATAAACGAGCTGTTAACAAGGGCCCCTTCCACACAGCTGAATAAAATCCCACATTGTTTGCTTTGAACCGGAATATATTGCAGTGTGGACTCAGATAACCCCAGTTCTATGCAGATATTGTGGGATTTCATGCCTGGATATTCTGGATTATATGACTGTGTGGAAAGGCCCAAGATTTGTAGTTTTAGTTGTGGTTTTATCAGCACTCTGCCAAAGAGTGCTAGTGGGTCAACAAACTCCAAATCCCTGGATTCCATAGCACCAAACCATGGCAGTTGAAGTGGTGTCAAACTGCGTTAACAAAGAATGCATTGACAAAGAATCAACCAAGAATTCCCCCAGGCAGTAACAAGGCACACCTAAAAACTGTCAGGTCATCAAATGCTAATCAAGGTGGCCAATTGAAACATGCACACCTGCCTCAAACAGACAAAGAGTTGGGTTGTTGTAGGTTTTTTCGGGCTATATGTCCATGTTCTAGAGGCATTCTCTCCTGACGTTTTGCCTCCATCTACGGCAGGCATCCTCCGAGGTAGCGAGATCTGTTGGAACTAGGAAAATTGGGTTTATATGTAAGTTCTTTCTCCCACCCTGGACTTTCCACAGATATATAAACCCAATTTTCCTAGTTTCCAACAGACCTCACAACCTCTGAGGATGCCCGCCATAGATGCAGGCGAAACGTCAGGAGAGAATGCTTCTAGAAAATGGCCATACAGCTCGAAAAACCTACAACAACCTTGGATTTATTATACAGCGTGTCCCTAAATCTCTTTACCAATTACCATTTTTACAAGGTGAAGAGACGCCCTGTATAGTGTGGATGTACCTTCAGTCCCGAACTACCAACACTCAGCCATATAATCCAGAATATCAAGGCAGATAAACCACAATATATGACTTGAACTGGCCATATAATCCAGTTCAATGTGGGAGTTGAAGTCCAAAACGCCTGGCGGGCCCAAGTCAGCCCCTGCCTGTTTGAGAGGCAGACTGCAAGTCCCAGAGTGCAAGGGTTTCGCCGCGCAGGCGCAGAGGACGAGGAGGGCGCGCCTGCGCGTCTGGGGGTGGCGTTGTGGGCGGGGCCACTCCCGCGCCTTTAAGGCCGGTGGCCGGCCCGCTTTCTTGCCCGCCGACGCGGGATCATGAGTGAGTGAGCGAGTGAGCGAGCGGCGGGGCGGGGACTGGCGTTGCTGCTGCCTCCGCCGCCGGGGCGCCTTGGCTCCTCTGCTGCTGGATGGATGGGTGTGCGAGGGGGACGCGCCTGAGCCTCCTCCCGAAGATGAGACGCGGCGAGGGGCGAGGAGGGGCCGCCGGCAAGGCGGCGCTGGAGGCGGGCCACGGAGGGGAACAAGCGCCGCCGCCGCGGGTTCCGGAGCAGCAGCAGCAACCGCCGCCGCAGCAGCGTAACGGGGCTTCTCCGCTTCGCCGCCGCCTAGACCCCGCCGGAATAGGAGGAGGAGGAGGAGGAAGAGCCCCTGACCGGCGCAGCACCGAGTCCGAAGTCTACGACGACGGCACCAACACCTTCTTCTGGTGAGGCCCTTTCCTGCCCTCTTCTTCCTTATCGGGCTGGGCATCTGCACTGTAGCTTTAACGCGGTTCTGTCCCGCTTTGACTACTAGGGAATGATGGGGACCTGACCCTTTACTAGACCTTCCAACGCCTTTTTCTAGTGAGGCCCCCTTTCCTTCCCCCTTCTTCCATGTCGGGCTGGGCATCTGCACTGTAGCTTTAACACCTTTCTGTCCCGCTTTGACTACTAGGGAATCATGGGGACCTGCCCTTTTACTAGACCTTCCAACCCCTTCTTCTGGAGAGGCCCCCTTTCCTTTCCCCTTTCTTCCTTGTCGGGCTGGGCATCTGCACTGTAACTTTAACGCGGTTCTGTCCTGCTTTGACTGCTGGGGAATGAAGGGGACCTTCCCTTTTACTAGACCTTCCAACACCTTCTGGTGAGGCCCCTTTTCCTGCCCCCTTTCTTCCATATCGGGCTGAGCATCTGCACTGTAGCTTTAACGCGGTTCTGTCCTGCTTTGACTGCTGGGGAATGAAGGGGACCTGCCCTTTTACAAGACTTTCCAACCCCTTCTTCTGGTGAGGCCCCTTTTCCTGCCCCCTTTCTTCCATATCTGGCTGGGCATCTGCACTGTAGCTTTAACACGTTTCTGTCCCKCTTTGACTACTAGGGAATGATGGGGACCTGCCCTTTTACTAGACCTTCCAACACTTTCTTCCGGTGAGGCCCCCTTTTCTGCCCCCTTTCTTCCATATCGGGCTGGGCATCTGCACTGTAGCTTTAACGCGGTTCTKCCCTGCTTTGACTGCTGGGGAATGAAGGGGACCTGCCCTTTTACTAGACCTTCCACCTTCCCTGGCGAAGCTTCCCCAAACTACAGCTCCCAGGATTGCCTTTCATTGAGCCATGGTTTGTGAAAGAGGTGTCCCAACTGCATCAAGTGTGCAGTCAGGATCCTGATGCAAGAACCCGTGGAATTCATGCAGATTTTCACCAGGGGAATGAAAGGGGAAGGGAGGAGGAGGGGGGGTGCCATTTCAGGCGTGTTTCCTCGCAGCTCCCCCCCCCCCCCCAAACAAAAAACAAAACAAAAAACTCTGGGCAGTCTGAGAAAATGCAAACAAACTTCCATGGAGGGGCTGATTGTGCTGACAGTGAGAATTACATTGGACTGTAGCCCACAACAGGCACATACAAAGCGGGTCTGCCATATTCTCTCTTCCCTCCCCCTGCCCCACACCACCTTCTCATCTTGTACATTGACAAGGGAGACAAGGGTCAACTTGGCCATTTCTTTGGAAAATTGGGTCATCTACAGCAGTGGTTCTCAACCTTCCTAGTGCTGTGACCCCTAAATACAGTTCATCATGTTGTGGTGACTCACAACCGTAACATTATTCTTGTTGCTACTTCATAACTATAATTTTGCTACTGTAAATGTCTGTTATGTAGGATATATTTTCATTCACCGGCCCAAATATGGCACAAATACCCAATACACCCAAATTAGAATACTGGTGGGGTTTGGGGGGGGGGGGTGATTTTGTAATTTGGGAGTTGTGGTTGCTGGGATTTATAGTTCACCTACAATCAAAGAGCATTCTGAACTCCACCAACGATGGAATTGAACCAATCTTGGCACACAACTCCCATGACCAACAGAAAATACTGGAAGGATCTGATGGGCATTGACCTTGAGTTTTGGAGTTGTAGTTCACCTAAATCCAGAGAGAACTGTGGACTCAAACAATGATGGATCTGGAGCAAACTTGGCACAAATAGTCAATATGCCCAAATGTGAATACTGATTGAGTTTGGGGAAAACAGACCTTGACATTTGGGATTGTGGTTGCTGGAATTTATAGTTCATCTACAATCAAAGAGCATTCTGAACCCCACCAATGATAGAATTGAGCCAAACTTCCCACACAGAACCCTCATGGCCAACAGAAAATACTGTGTTTTTAATGGTCTTTGGTGAACCCTCTGACACCCCAGGTGTCCTGACCCCCAGGTTGCAAAACTGATCTAGATCAAGCATGGGCAAGCTTTGACCCTACTGGTGTTTTGGACTTCAACTCCCACCATTCCTCACAGCCTCAGGCCCCTTCCTTTTCTCCCTCAGCTGCATAAGCGGCTGAGGGGGGAAAGGAAAGGGCCTGAGGCTGTTGGGAATGGTGGGAGTTGGAGTCCAAAACACCCAGAGGGCCAAAGTTTGCCCATGCCTGATCTAGAACCCTTGCTTTTCAGTTGGAAAAGAGGTATGATTCAAACTTTTTTGAAACAATCTTCTCATTGTTGTTATGCAACTTTAGGCCAAATCTCAGAGTTATGGCAACCTTGCCTTGTTATTTACCTGGCACAATTTATACAAAAGGGGCTTGCTTCCCCTTCCCTCTGAAGCTGAGAAAGTATGGCTTGCCCAGTGGCCAAGCAAGGGTTAGAATTGTAGAATCATAGAGTTGGAAGAGACCTCATGGTCCATCCAGTCCAACCCCATCCAGTCCAACTCCAGGCCCCTTCGCTGCTGGCGTTTCGGAAGAAGGTTAAGACCTGGCTCTATGAACAAGCGTTTGGCTAAACAGTGCAACTGAATATAGGAGGATGGTAAAATTTAACTTCCATGGCTCCATGTTATGGGATTTGTCGTCTGGGGAGATGCCGGCCCACTTTGACAGAGACGACTAAAGGCCTTGTAAAGGATGGTAAAAGTTTGCTGTATTTTAAATTTGAACTTAGGAAATGGCCCAAGGATTACGAGAACGGATTCTGATTTCATATTGAGGCGTTATGAATTGTTAATGATTGTTTGATTTTGTTTGCTGTATATGATGTGTTTTAATCGTTTAGGATATTGTTGTGATAGTATTGATATTGTTGTGATAATTTTCATTGTGTAAACCGCATTGAGTCGCCTTATCAGGCTGAAAAATGCGGTATAGAAATAAAGTAAATAAAATAAATAAATAAATAAACCCCCCTGCCAAGAAGCACGTAAATCGCACACAAAGCACCCCTGACAGATGGCCATCCAGCCTCTGTTTAAAAGCCTCCAAAGATGGAGCCTCCACCAATTGTGCTCTTTGATGTCTTGGGGTGCTTCTCCACTTTGAAAATAATGCAGTTTGACACTACTTTAACTTCCATGGCTCCATGTTATGGGATTTGTCGTCTGGGGAGATGCCGGCCCACTTTGACAGAGACGACTAAAGGCCTTGTAAAGCTACAAATCCCAGAATTCTACAGCATTGAGCCATGCCAGTTAAAGTAACGTGAAACTGCATTAACTCTTATTTATTTACCATACTTGTATCCTGTCTTTCTCAACCCTGAAGGGGACTCAAGACGGCTTTACAAAGGCAACAATTCAGTACCACATGTATACATACATCAGTGGATAAACAAAACATTATAGACTATAGTTGAGATGCACCCCAAGTCTTGTGTTGGAATCCTGAGGGGTGCATCTGCACTGTAGATTTAATGTAGTTTGAATCCACCTTTGTCTGTCATGCCTCAATGCTATGGAGTCCTGGGATTTATGGTTTGGTGGGGCACTAACCCTATTTGGCTGGAAAGTCTAAAGACCTTGTGAAACTACAACTCCTGTGATTTCATAACATAGGGCCATGGAAGTTAAGAGGCATCAAACTGCGCTAATTCTGCACCCTATGCCTCTTTGGTGAGTGAGGAGGTCCCTCAACTAGCCCTGTCTGAGGTTCTTTCCCCAGCTTCTGCCCTCGGGATTATAATTAAAGTCATAATCATGTTTGTTGAGAGAATAAATACCGCTGAACTCTTAGATTTACCTAGATAGTTATGTTGCTCTGTTGCTAATTCCCTGGTTACAGGCGTACTTCATTTTCCTTTCCACTTTCTCTGAACAACCCCTCCCTGAATTGAGAATAGGTTATTAGTGACTTTTCTGAATGCTGCAATCTGATTATCAAAGGTGCCCCTCTGATTATCAAACCAGTGCCTTGGATTTGAGGTGAAGTATGGAAACGTGTTCATCTTGATTTCAGTTAATTTCTCAGGGACCGCATTTAAGGCTCTGCTTACATGGCACATTTGTTATGAAATGAGTTTTCTTGGGCGACACTCTAATTACAGACTTGAAAGGTATAATGTGTGTTTGTGTGTATGTTTAATTAAATCTCCACAATATTATAGTACAGCAACCAAATCACAATCTAGCCTTGTCCCAAAATCTGTGACTTGGAAACGGCAAGGAGAGGGTGGAAGAGCATTCAACTTTTTGTTTTTCTCTCCCTCCAAACAGATTCTTGTAAATAGATTGTTTGTGGAATAAAGTGAACTTATAGGCAATCCCCAAGTTACAGATATCCGACTTACAAACGATTCATAGTTAAGAACGGGGCTGAGACAACAGGAAGTGAGAGAAATCTACCCCAGGGAAGGAAAATTCACTCTTGGAAGAATTATTATAGGGAAGTGGTATCTCCACTGCAGCTTTATGACCAATTCTTGATTCTACAACAAGCCCCCCCCCCCCTAAATTCAGTTATCAGAGGGACAGAAAGTGAATCTTCTGAACATTGGCACAGACAGCAAAACAAACACCCTTCCCTATGCTATCCAAAGCGCACATATATGCCTGGTGTTGCACTTAAAAAATTTAACTGTTCCTGCTTACAAACTGATTCAAGTCCCTATCTTGTTCATAAATTGAGGACTGCCTGTATTCTCAAAGGCTGGATCTACTTTGCCAAATAATGCAATTTAAACTACATCATGTGATGTATTTTATATATCTAAGGCATTGAAATTTGCCATTGATTATGTTGTGAAGCGCTTTGAGTCCCTTCAGGGGTGAGAAAAGCGGTATAAAATGCAATAGATAAATAAATAAACGGTCACTGTCGAACTATATAATTCAGTTTAATGCAGTTCAAACTGCATTATATGGCTCTACAATGACCAGGTAACACAGTTCAGACTGTATTATAGGGTGATGTAGAACCAACCTGAGTTTGAATTGCAATTCTGCAATGGA